CCCCAAAACCCCAAAACCCCAAAACCCCAAAACCCCTTAATCTTATTTAAAAATGGAAATCAATCCTATAATAAAATATTGCAAGACCCCCAATAGCACCAAATGGAAAATAACTTCTTTGATGATATTATGAATGAAAATAATCTCTTTCAGGAATTCGACCAGCTCAGTCAAAGTTCTCTACTCGATGTGATGGTTGACGCTATGATGGAACCCGCTAAGGAAGAAATCCCAGCTATAAACCAATATGAAGGTTTAAAAAATCTTCAGCATGAGCAAAACGACCAAATTGAGATCCATGAGTCAATTGATATCGGCTTACTTTTTGAGGAACCACATATAGAAGCTTTTTCTGAAGATTTGTTAGTCAGAGAAAGCTCAAAAGCCACAAGTACTACCTCGAAAGTTACTCCTGAGATGAAGATATTTAAAATATCTACTTGACCCTAAAAATGGTGGGCAGATTAACACTCCTGAAAAACAGGATGAAAAGAAAGAAATCAAAATTGTTAAAGACAACCCTACTGAAATTGATCCTCAAGAGCTAGTAACTGCTGCACCTGAGTCAAAACCTATCAAAAGACCAAGGAGAGACGTCACATATAAGACTATTCTCAGGAAGTGCAGAAAATACTATCAAACCAGATTTAACAAAGAGACTGGATATCTCAAATGAAAAAAGAAAGAGCCTTGCAGCTTCTACAGAAAATGTATCCTAAAGTTCATCGACTCTTGTTTTGAGTATGACACTCAATTAAATGTTAGTTTCCATCTAGGATGCTTGTTGTATCCACAAGAGATGACTAGAGGAATCGAAAGTTTCATATACCCAGAAGGTGTGAAAACATTCACCCCAAAGAAAGTAGTGAAAAGAAAGATTGAAACTCATAAACTACAGGTCGATAAACTGCACAGCATTCTGTACAAGTTCACCCATGAAAAGCTTGACAAATTCATTTCAGTCCCAGAACTTGCTGCCATCTTTGTCAATTTCATTAAATATGGAGCTGGTAAAGATGTCAACAGTGAAGAATTCAAAACTGAGTACAAAGACCTCCTCAAAAGATGCCTCAAAACCCTCTCTAAATGTAAGAGAGTAAAAGGAGTAGCCACTTTGTTCGATTAAGCTCTGACTTCATCTTCATTTTGGCTACTACATTTTATTTATCAGGACAAAATCCTCCTCCAAATTAATATAAACATTCGAAAATCAAATTCTTTCACTCAGTATTTTAACTTCCAATAATAAATGCAAATTACAGGGCTCTTCCTGCTCACTATGAGTAAATCCCTAGACCTATTGGTTAGTGAGTGCCCTGACTTCAGAAATAAGTTTAGTAATTCAAATAAAGGATGTAGTAGTAATTTTATTGTGACCGGCTGCTTTCTTTTGCTAGATATCCAACCTACATTCTCTCTAATTTTCATCCTACCTAATAATTTATTTTTAAATCGACGATACATAAAAAGTTTAGTTAAAAACACAACGATCATAATTCATGAGTATATATCTATTTTATAAAGCTCAGAAAGAAGGCCTTTGGCGGCAAGTTTCCTCCAAACTCTATAGTTATTGCTATTAATGATCTAAATTTCTGCAAATCTAAAATTTAACTTCAAAATACTTACTTTCAATTGAAGTTATGGCGGTATCAAGCTCTTCCAAAGACTTATCCCTTACACTAATTGCTTTTTCTGTTTAGTGAAAATCTAATATTCACTCTTCATATCTTTTCTTGTCTTATTTTTCCTAGATATCCATAAAATGGTTCATTAGATCTTCTCAGACTCCAAACCTTCCAAAATTGTTCACTATATAAAACTAAACCCTACTGAAGACAAGACTTATATTTGGCGCTCTATTGATCAAATTAATGTCCAGAATTTGGGATGGTTCAGGCGTCCTCTCCAAGATATGCTCAATACACCCCTACTTCTCACTTTACACGTCATTGCTCTCAATTCTAAACCAACTTGTCATTTACCCATAGTGACTAGTAGGTTGGGCAATTCATACTTCCACCATTTCTTGGACATGAAAGATACTGAAAATAGAGTAAAATCTCTGTGAGACAAATAGAAAGTAGTACACTCCGTATGGGATAGTCTTCATTCATTCAACATTAAGTAACAAAAAGGGGTTTTGGGGTTTTGGGGTTTTGGGGG